AGGTATTTGATTAAGGATGAAAGTAATACATGATTGAGCATTATTGGCTCCAGAGGCTGTTGGTTGTTTTGGAAGCCTACATTCACATAATCTTTGTTTTGTTATGCACAGAGACATTGCAAATAAGGTTATAAGATACTAGGATATACTCAATCTGTTATAATTAGTTAATTTACCTCCATCATTTATAAATCTATGTGTGCAAGAAAGCAATGTTTAAAAAGATTTCAAATGTTTCCTTCGCCTATGCAGATTGAGACTCGATCACGGGTGGAGACACCGACTGGGTCAACTGTGGGTGTCAAAACACGGTTGAAGGATTGTAGTAACGCTCTCACAACATCGAAAGAGCTTCTCAAAATCATTAATAGAATGTGGGGTCAAGACGACCGCCCATCTTCTAGCATGTCCCTGGTCTCTGCTTTACATTCTGAGCTCGAAAGAGCTCGCTTACAGGTCAATCAGTTAATCCACGAACATAAACCGGAAAACAACGACATTAGCTACTTGATGAAGCGTTTTGCCGAAGAGAAAGCAGCGTGGAAAAGCAACGAGCAAGAAGTCGTTGAGGCTGCAATCGAATCTGTTGCTGGTGAGCTAGAAGTGGAGAGGAAGTTGAGGAGACGGTTTGAGAGCTTGAACAAGAAATTGGGCAAAGAATTGGCTGAAACAAAATCAGCTCTGATGAAAGCAGTGAAAGAAATTGAGAACGAGAAGCGAGCGAGAGTGATGGTCGAGAAAGTATGTGATGAACTAGCAAGAGACATAAGCGAAGACAAAGCCGAAGTTGAAGAACTGAAGAGAGAATCATTTAAAGTTAAAGAAGAAGTCGAAAAGGAAAGAGAGATGTTGCAGTTAGCAGATGCATTGCGTGAAGAGAGAGTACAGATGAAACTCTCGGAGGCTAAACACCAGCTCGAGGAGAAAAACGCAACTGTTGATAAGCTAAGGAACCAGCTTCAAACTTACCTCAAAGCAAAAAGATGTAAAGAGAAGACCCGTGAACCGCCTCAGACTCAGCTACAGAACGAAGAGACTGGAGATTATTTAAACCATCACATCGGTTTTGGATCATACAACATCGAAGATGGAGAAGTCGAGAATGGAAATGAAGAGGATTCAGGAGAAAGCGACCTTCATTCCATAGAACTGAACATAGACAACAAGAGCTATAAATGGCCTTATGGTGAAGAAAACAGAGGAAGAAAATCAACGCCAAGGAAAAGCCTTTCTTTACAAAAAAGCATTTCGGATTGTGTTGATTGGGTTGTACAGAGCGAGAAGCTTCAAAAAAGTGGAGATGGAGGATTGGATTGGGGAAGATCAATTGAGGTTGAGCCTAAAGGGTATTTAGATGAAACACAAGCTTATAAACCAAACAAGGCTTCTTCAAAAGATCATCATCTCGTCTCGGGTTCGAGACTAAGTAACTTCCGCGGTGGATCCGTTTCAAAGTCGCGGTTATCGGATGCCTCAAAAGGCGAAAACCAGAATGCTAGAAAATCAAGATGGTAATATTGATCCGGAAATTTTATTCACATTTTTCAGCGCAGAGATGACAGAATCTAAAGACATTTACATCTACATTTTCCTCTGTTCGCTCGTTTTGTCAAGAGTGATTCTCTCATCTGTAAGTGACATAAAACATGAATTTGAACTGGTAATGATCCAAACATGTAAGAGCAAGAATTTACACGAAATTATCTTTCGATTTATATCATTTGAGATTTCAGATCGCCTACACCTTCAAAGACCGAAAAAAAAACACTAATCATCGAGCCATTTCCTGATTCGATCCTTGACGAAATCATTCCGAGCTTTGACGCGAGCTTGTTGAGGTGCGATGTTGGCGAGTGAGAGATACGCTCCGGCGACGAAGAGAGAAACGCCCGCCGCGAAAAAACCCACCGACACCGTTAACTGCCGCCGTGTCGGCGGATACGACATAAAAAACACCATCCTTCTCTTTTACCGCCGTCTCTTGCAAAATCTGTTTAATTCTAACAGTTATTGGGCCAGGCTTTTTATTTTGGGCTTTATTCTTAATCCCCAATTTCTCAACAAATTAGGGAAACAATGGATATAATATAATATACTAGTGTTGGATGATTGACAAAAAAAAAATACACTAGAAATTTTTTGAAGAAAAATAAATAAATAACCAATCGAGCCAGTGGATATATTTGATAAATTTGCAGTTTATATTCGTTATAAAGGGCTTCATATATAAAATGAGGATCCTCATTTCGTCAAAACGGACGCAATGAAGAACACCAATACGTCACTGCGATTTATGTGGCCGATGAAGCTCCGATTTATGTGGCTGATAGAGGCTCCGACTCTGAAACTCTTGTGAAAGCTCTTGTAGAACAAGGTAAGTTGTAATTTTGTTAAAGCTACTATTTATATTTATTATGGCTTCATATATATAAAAGGATCATTCTTCTTCTTTATTTCGTCAAAACAGACACGATGAAGAACACCAATACACTCATCACTGTGATTTCTGTGGTCGATGGATCCGAAGCTCTGATTTCTTTGTTACCTAATTTCACAATATCTTACATGGTTTCACAATATATTCTGATCCTTGATCAGGAAGATGAATCACAGTAGTATCTGCGTAATATCATAATGATGTCAATATCGAACAAGCCTTAAGCAGAATTCGTGCATTCCAGGTCAAGATCTAAGGTTTATTCAATCTGAAATTTCCAGAAACCAAAGCCAACATCTGGATATCGAGTTCTATTGTTGGTTTATAGAAATAAAGATCGGAAAAAATTACTGATCTAAGTTAATAGTGTTAGATTTTAGACATAGAATGTACGATTTTACGTAAAACTTGTGCGGTTTTGATTTTTTGATACTACAAACAAATACTACTTTGATTGATGTAATATCATGGTAGTATCTGGTATTCAAACCTCACCCAAAGCTTTAGTGGTCTAGTTTTCGTTTTCAATTTTTAAAAGCAGTTTTCACGATGACATTAATGTTTTTCATGATCTTGCATTTCTTAGCCTTTGTAAAAACGATTCTTACAAAATGATAGGATTAACAAAGATACATTTTCAAAACTAATCCGGTTAATTTCTCTACAAGACTTTAGAAACATGCATATTACAATTATAACTTTAGCTTTTGTGTGATGAGGTAGATAATCATGCCTGGCCGACAGGGGAAGGGTACGACGGCAAAAAAATTTATTTTAAAAAAAATACTCCCTCTATTTCAAAATATAGGATGTTTTGATTAAAAACACATATATTAAGAATTTTATTTTTTAATTTTAAAAGTATTATTTAATATTTGATTGAAGAATTTCAACCAATTACAATAAAGACTGCAGAATACAAAGAGTCATAAAAATCAAATGTATTTAAAGTTTGTCTAGAAATTTGTAAAACATCCTATATAATGAAACAAAATAATTTGAAACAGAGAGAGTACTTTAAAAAAGTCCATATTAATTTTTTTAAAAAACTAATATAACCCAGATTTTTCAAAAGAAAACTATGGAAAGCCAAAATTTTGAAAATAATTTGTTTTTAATAATAATCAAACACACAAAATTATTTAAAAATAGTACCAAAAAAAAATTGTAGTGATAAAAGGCCAAAAAAATTGTTTTGGCCCAAAGGCCTTTATTTTCTTTGGGCCGGGGCTGTAGAGAATAATTAAACTATTTAAACAAAAATGTCTAAAGTAATCAAATCGTTTTGTTAGTCTGCCCATGTCGTTGACACTTACGCGGCTATTAATTAATTTAAGATACCAAATCCGAATAATGGTTATTCATTCATACTTATCTCTTAACATTAATTGTAAATCCAGCCAAGCATGGTCATAGTTTCAATTAAATGAAATTAATTGTAAGGTTGTCAGCTTTTATTATACTAGTAGTTCGGAAGATATTACTTCTTCCGTGTTACTATTATATCTTTATTATCAATTGTTTTAAATAGGAAAAATTATAAATTTTTGTTTACCAATTTCTTCTTACACAAAAAAAAATTCATTAAATAACTTCACATGGGAAATTAACTCACACTGCAATATTAATAGCTTGCTTTTGGTGTGAAGCTACCTGATATTGCAGTCACAACAATTAACTTTGACGTAGCCATTCTGTTAGTATCTTGTAAGTTTCTTTCGAAGATTTTGTAATCCTGTGATTAACATTAATATATATACATTTAATTCTTTTCCTGCTTTGATTAAGACACCTTTTACATGTACGTATATCTGTTTTCATTAATACATTTAAAATACTATTTTGTATTTTTTTCAGAAAGCAAATCTTACAAACTAAAACCCGTAATATACATACACTAATTACTAATACACATTTTCTTACACTTATACATGAACGTAAATCATTGTATATATATTTCAAAGATAACATAGCTACCAAAAAATAACAACAAAATGGAATAACAGTTAAAGCATTTGCAAATATAGCCAATTGAAGCAAAAGTAAGCTGAGATAACTTGAGACTGTACTATATTGTATGATTAGAAATTAGAATGAATGATTTACGTCTACAAATCTAGCACGTATATTATTGCTCGACTAGTTCCGTGTCAATGAAGATTGTCGAGAGCAAGTAAAGACTTTAAGTACTGTTACTTTCAGTTTTAAAAGTTAAAACCCATTGTCAATCATATTAAAAAATAATTTATCGTACTTGTGAATTTTTTACCTTATGTTTGCTTTCATTCAAATTTAAATCTCTATAGTATTTGTGATGTTCAAAAAAAGAGAAAAAATCCACACGACTTCACCGAGCTCACATTTATATACTTTAAAACTACATGTCAGCATTGACATTAAAAAAAAAAAGAATTGTTTCTTGTTAAGCAAAAATAATTGTTAGCAGTTAAAGACTAGTCTCTGTAGCTACTATTATCGTTGTAATATTATTTTTATATTTCACCTATTATAATTAAATTAGGCCTTAATGGAATATCTCTCTCTCTCTCCCTCTAACCAACTTTATGTGTGTTTGTTTTATAAAATGGCATAAGCATAACCAACAAGAAGACGACTTTCTCAATAAAACCAAAACCTCTTTCTCAATCCACATAGAGAGAAAGAGAGAGATGAGCCGGAGGAACAAGAACGGCTCTAAGCTCGAGCTGAGGCTAAACCTTTCGCCGCCTCCTTCTCAAGCCAGCCAGATGAGTCTTGTTCGATCTCCAAACCGATCCAACACGACTTCACCGACCTCATGCGTTTCTTCTGAAACGAACCAGGAGGAGAACGAGGCAATAACCTCAATGGTTCTTGTAGGTTGCCCTCGTTGCCTTATGTACGTTATGCTTTCTGATGATGACCCTAAATGTCCTAAATGCAAAAGCACCGTTCTTCTTGATTTCCTTCAAGAAAACGCTTTTGCCGCTACAACCGCTACCGCTGCCAACACCAGACGCAACAAGAAGACCTGGTGGAACTGAATTTATTAATGATCCAACCGCGTTTTTTTTTGTATGTAATCGAGGGATCTTAAACCGAAATCTAAACTAATCCAACAGTACTTTTTTGGTTTCTCCTTTGATTTATCTCTTTAGTTGTTTTGTCTTTAGAGTAGTGCTAATCACGCTCCACTTTTAGACTAAACTTGAAGTGGAGCGCCACTAGCACTAACTTTGCTTAAAATGGAAGAATGATTATTTTTTTTATAACTGGCGATGCTTAGTATGATAAACATGTGTTGTTGTTTAGTTTCCATATTTACTTTTTTACTATGGAGTTATTACAGTTCAGCTTTTCCGGTAACCATCTTAGAGGAAAACGGGTTTCTTTCACTAGAAATCTTGATCAACGACTCTTTATGCAAGTGGAGATGTGAAATTACAATACCCTGTCTCTGATCCCTCTGTTTCTATAATCATCTGTTCCTCACATGTCTAGAAGTTTTTCGGATTATCTAAGACTCTTAAGCGTAAAAAAAAATAGACACTTTTGTTTCTCAATATTCTCTGTTTCTTGATTACTTTGTCTTTATTTTCTAAAAAATCACAATGGTTTATAGTGTATTAAAATATAAAAAGTAAACGAAAAGTTAGAGATTCACTTAAACAAGGCAGACACATAGAAAAGGAGATTAAAATTGCAAATGGTTAGAGATAAACTCCAAGAGGTAGTCAAATAATCTATTATCTAGCAAGAAATGTTGTTTAAGTGTTTTGGTTGTCCAAGGAGCAAAGGAATAATTTTGGACTAGGATCCAGATGAAACAACTTTGGTCTCTATGGTCCTACTAAATAAAAGTCTTTGAGTTTGTGTACCAATATTTGACTCCCCCACAACTCAAAAAGTCTTATATTCAGTAGGACCATAGATGGTTTACGGTTTATGGAACCACCACAAATATAAGTCATGATCTTTTTATTTTGTTGCATAGGGATGGTTTACGTTTTATGGAACCTTCACAAATGATACCAAAAACTAGTTCCGGATCTAAAACTAACAAGATTCTTTTCTTGAAAATTGCATTATTTGTCGGTGACAGAAAAAAAACTTGGAGCTGTTGTGTTCTAAGGTAAATGGCAAAGAAAAAACACTGAAAAATCTATATGATAAATTTAGAAAATCTATTTTATTTATTTCATAGTGCTTGCTAGGGGTGAAAGTTGGTTAAAATTGAAGAGGAGGTAGTTCAGATAGGTTCAATAGATTTAAAGGTAATGAAATCATTTAAATCAAATATAAATGCAATAGTAATTGAGACAGTTGAGAATTATGAGCGTTACGTAAGAATGATAAATACGAATTTAATTCCACCTTCAATAAGATGTTATTAATTCTCCTTTTTGTCAAAGAAATAAATAAAATGGTGATACTACAATTAGTTAATTTACTTTTCTTTTTGAGTTATCTCTTCTTTTTCTTTCTTATTATTATCTTCTCAACTCTATTTTTTTCTCATCGTTAAAAACATTCACTAAATGTCACCTTTCTGTTGCAGCCTTCATATTTAAGCAATCTCATTCTTCAAAGCCTCATTTTCTGTTTGTTAAGAGTCAATATCCATTTAATACTTCTTTTTTTTCCCAGGAAAAATCTAGAAATTTTGGTTTATAGTTTACGTAACTAGGACCAACAATTAAGATTTGAAAATAGTTGAGATTGTTCTGCAATAATCTCCTAAAATTTCATGGTAACGAGACCTGATAACCAAACATTTTTACATAACCATCTCCCTGACAATTACTATTAAACTACTCTGTTTCAGTAAAACAAACATTTTGATGGTAGACACTTATTGACAATAAGTTATTGTGTTGGAAGGAAGAGAAAGGGGAATGTACTTTACTGAAGCTGTGAAAACCGGTTCTTGATCAGAGTGGCTACGTGCTGCGCTACCCATGCTGAGCCAGCCACAGTGCAGCAGAATCCGTGCGTGTGACCTTCCCTCTCAATAGCCAAGGATGTACCTGGAGCCTGCTTCGAAATCTGGACAATGGAGATTCTTTGAGAGACCTTCCTACTATCGTCAGAAAATGCATTTTGGAGAAGGGAAACTAACTAACCTCTTCAAAGAGTTGCAGTGGACCCCAATGATCATCAATGCCAAATAGAAATGCAAGCTTGCTCTGGTTTTCTCTCATAAAATCCCAATCTGGCTCAGCTGCAAGCTTATATGCCAAAGATGAAACATCGAGTCACCTAAAATGCTTTGTTGGGGATTAACTATAGTGTAAGCTTGATCATGTTTTGGAGCTTGCCAGTAAACACTTTGCATCCAATTCAAAATGAGACTCTCTAAACTCTATACGACACATTGTCCAACGAAGAGTACCTCTCTAAACTCTGACTTTGCCATGAAGAGGACATTGCGCATGGTGTGATACTGCAAGGAAAGAAAATTTTAACACAGAACAAGCATCAGATGAAGTTATCTCCTCTGAATAGTTATTAGGAATAAGAACATAAAAGTATCGATAAAAGAAGATGCAATGGCCATCTTCAAGGAATTAGACAACTAGGTTCAAGTGTGAGAAACCCAAGAAAATCAGTGAATATGGAAACAAGAAAATTAATACCTGTCTCAAGTGAGTGCAGGTAGCTTGAACAGCAGTATCAGACCATGAAGCTCCAATGGATTTGGATACAAGCAGCCGTGCAGCTGACATAGGTAAAAGTCTCAGCGATGCAATCAGAAAACTTGCGGTAGCTGACAGAATAGAAGACCTGAATTTCAACAATTTCTTATTGATCTCTGAGTATTAGCAGAAGCAGAGAGAGAGAGAGAGCAGCATGTTTTCATAACATTCTAATTAAGGATGATTGGGCTGGTTCTTTCAAATCGTGGGTTCATAACAGAACGAGAACGAAAGCTTACGCTGCAAGTTTCCCAATTAATGATTGCTTTGTTGATTGTTGGTTCAAAGTCAAAAATGGATATAGGCCAATGCAATATACCACCTGCAAAGCACTCCAGAGAATATAAACGATCGCATAGCATAGAGAGAAATTATGACAGAGAAAGTATTACTCAGAAAAATCCGTCGATACCTTCTCCGAGAACTTCCTCAACATTTCAAGGGATATATAAGACCCAATAGAATGCCCAACCTATCAAGATCAATGAAAATTGAAGTTGTAAATTATCATGAAAATTTGCAAAACCATCAATGAATGGACGCATATATTTGATCATAAGAAGCAATATGTCAAAAGGAAACATGTTATGTAACCCATTTTATGCATGGCACAATAAGTCTTACCAATATTATTGGAAGTTTCACACTCTCCAACTCCTGTCTGATAAAATCAATCTGCATGATACCTAGCAGATTAAGATCTTAACTTCAAGGGATAAACAACACAAGTACTTGATGCCTTTCAAATTCAAGAGCAATGAAGAAAAATGATTTCCTTTTCAACAATTATTATTACCTTATGATCGATTTGTTCTTGAAATGAAAATAGCCTCCCAGATTCCCAGTCCTGAAAGGGAAACAAAAGAATGTAAATAATCAAGTAACATGAAAGCACAAATTGAGCTATCAAACTCAGAACACAAATTAAGATACAAATGAAGAGTATAACTGCAACCATCAAAATATACACACGGTATGATCCGAATCAAAGTTTGAGTACCTTGCTCGTGTGAGATATTTGTCCAATAGCTAGTCAAACAAAACAAACCAGTCCACCATTAATGATCAGAAGAACAAACTCAAACTCAGAAAGAAACAGCTTCCATCACAAGGACACAAAGAAGGAACACTCGAAAACTAGAGCAGCCATACCAATTACAGAAGCATTTCCATCAAGAAACTCGTATAAAGATTCCAAAAACTCCTTGTAAAATGACACAACTCCTGAAAAATTACAAACCAATGTATGAATCATACTAGTATATACATGTGCATGCATTGCAAACGCGTATTGAGCATAATAATGATCATTAACGAAACCTGGATTTCCCGGAATAAACAATACATAGAATGTGGGATTCTCAGCTTGAATTTCCATTATCTCCGTCATCAAACTTTGATCACAAATCCAAAAAAGAAAAAAGTGTAACTATAGTCAAAGAAATTAGAAAACTTTTTCGTAAAAGATTAAAGTAACAATACCCAGAAACTCTGCACAATCTGGAATCAACATGTCTTTTAGCTTCATTCATCAATTTGTTTTGAGTCTCCATATTTGCGGTCACGCGATTCAACCTATATATTCTCCCAGAACTGGCAACATTTAAAAAAGAAGAAGATCGAGAGAATCAATGAGATACAGTACTGAGAGAAATTAACTTGAAGACGAAACAGAGAAACCGTTAAAAATCAAAACTTTGTACACTAAAATGAGTGAAGAAGAAGCATGTTGAAACACTCAAAAGCTGTTTACAGTAAACCAAGTATAGAGAGCACAACAATGCACCTGAAACAGCAGGAGTAGTAGATACTTTGGAGAATCGAACCGCCGATCGGAGGAAGAAAGTATCCGAGAGGCGGAGTTACCGAATGTAGAAGAAGAAGTCGCATAGTTTTCAGCATTCGTAATGCGACATCGTTTTGGGTCACGCGACGTCGTTTAATGAGTTTAGGGGTCGTTGGGCTTATCTCCACCTCATACTTCCACTACAAAGAGAGGTGATTGACAGATAGATAAGTCTTTTGTTGCTCAGATAGAGAGTCACAAAGTGTGTATCATCAATGGCGTCTCTAGCTTCTTCAACTACTCTCATATCTTCTCCATCTTCTAGGGTTTTTCCAGCAAAGTCTTCACTTTCCTCTCCATCTGTTTCTTTCCTTCCAACCCTTTCCTCTCCTTCCGCATCTGCTTCTCTCCGCTCCGGCTTCGCTCAACGCTCTTCCCTCAGCTCCACTTCTCGCCGGAGCTTTGCTGTCAAAGCCCAGGCCGTAAGTTTATCTCAATGTCGATACTTTTCTTATTCTGTCTCATTGGAATCTGAATTCATTAGCCTGTTATAGAATTCACTCTCTTCCTACTTGTTAGCCCTATAAATAATTATCGATTTATAGGTTTCTGCAGATTACTCTAAAAATTCGGAAATTTGAGTGACATTTTCTTTTGGGGTTGTTAATTGAGTGACATTTGAGCTATACTCGTTGACTGATTTTAGTCTGTAAGAGGAGTCCTATGTAGTTTTGGTCTGATTGTTGATTTGACTGATCCTGCTCCTTGTATTTGATGTGTAAACGAGCTTTACTTTTGTGTTTATAGGATGATCTTCCACTGGTTGGAAACAAGGCGCCTGATTTCGAGGCAGAGGCTGTGTTTGATCAGGAGTTCATCAAGGTATCATCTCTAAAGAAGCTTCTTTTTCTATATTGACTAGTTTACTTATAGCAAATGTTAATCATAGCTGCTGCTGCTTCTAGTTAATCTGAGACATCAATTTAGGTTTGAAGCTAAATGACTAGTATGTTTCTTATTCTTCTCGAAACTAAGTGGTAACTGATGAATGTATGGTTTCAGGTTAAGCTCTCTGAGTACATTGGAAAGAAGTATGTGATTCTCTTTTTCTACCCATTGGACTTCACTTTCGTCTGCCCAACAGGTTAAAATCGCTCGAGAAGTTGATCAAAATTGAATGTCTGAGGGTCGCTGCGTCCTAATCTCTTTTCTGTTTTTCTTATGTCTTCTAGAGATTACTGCCTTCAGTGACCGGCATTCAGAATTTGAGAAGTTGAACACCGAAATATTAGGTGTTTCTGTCGATAGTGTGGTAAGTATAACTATACAATTACTATCTTATTTTACTCAGTTTCTCATCCTTGGTTGACATCACCATGTTCTTACCTGTTTGCAAATTGTTTGACTCATCATTACTTGTGTGTGTCCACGTAGTTCTCTCACCTTGCATGGGTCCAAACAGACAGGAAATCGGGAGGGCTTGGTGATCTGAACTATCCCCTTATTTCAGATGTCACTAAATCAATCTCAAAATCTTTTGGAGTGCTCATCCATGATCAGGTAATTGTTATCCTTTAGATGTTGGCTACCTTACTTTCGAAGTGTTTGAGATAAATAGAGACAAGAACTTCGTTTGTGTAAGAACAGGGAATAGCACTGAGAGGGCTCTTCATAATTGACAAGGAAGGAGTGATCCAACATTCCACCATCAACAATCTTGGTATTGGCCGAAGCGTTGATGAGACAATGAGAACCCTCCAGGTAATAGAAACAAAGAAATTACGAACTCCGAAAACGCTCCAATTGCGGTTTACTTAAATGTATTCTCAATGTTGCAGGCATTACAGTACATCCAAGAAAACCCGGATGAGGTCTGCCCAGCGGGATGGAAGCCGGGTGAGAAGTCAATGAAACCTGACCCGAAACTCAGCAAAGAGTACTTCTCAGCTATTTAGAAACTCTACTATGATAGCAAGAAGGTACAATCTTTGTTATATCTGAGCAGAGTTTTTTTTCTTGTACGCTAAAACAATCCTTTGTTTGATTCTCACTTTGTCCCCAAATTATAATAAAACTTTTTCCGTTAATGGAAGTCTTATTGTGTTACGCCTACACATTCATATTCAGATGTCCATATACCTATGCACATACATTAGACATATTAATGGTAAAAATCAAGAAGACCATTTTGTGATCTTCTTTGGCATAACAGAGCAGTTTATATAATTGAGAAATCAATTTATGAAATACTCTATATTTTCCAAACACATACATACCACAATTAAAGACATGTAAAAAAGCAAAAGGACACAAACTATAAACTATCATTTCTCTTTTCGTTAATGTGTATATGATAATTATGATCCTTAAAAAAGCTGATGCTACCTGTAAAAAAGTTGCTCATGTGTCCCCCTGCCAACATCATTAATCATCATCATCAACCCAACCTCCTCCGGTAACCGGTAACTGGTAAACGCCGGTCAACTCTCTGCTTTAACTACACTACGACCCGGTCACAATTTTTGCACACTCTTCTTAAACAATGCATGCCCTCACCAACTCCGGCGCCGTACTTCTCGCCGTGTTACTCTTCTTCCTCCTCGTTCTCCTCGCCGAGCTCTCTTACATCTTTTGTCGCCGCACCGGATCTTTACCGTCTCCGGCAAGTAAAGAGGTTATTTTCCAATTCTTGATGTGTTGCAAGAAGAACCACCACTCTCGTATTGAGCCAAGTACCGGAATTGTTTCTGTACAGATGGAGGAGGATGTTGTTGCTGCGGCGGCGCCGGAAGAGGATTTGTTTGCGGTGGACAAGTGGCGAGTGTCGAGGCTTCTCTTCACAATCGAGGAAGAGGATTTGGAACTGGAAGATGAAGATGATGATGTGGTCTCTGCGAAGGAGGATAATGACGGCGAACTCCGAGTTGACATTCCGGTGGAATATTCCGGCGATCCAACTCCGTTCTTGACGCCGTGCGACTCACCTCCTTACTTCACTCCTTCGCCATCTCCTGGTCGGGATATGGATGACGTCATTGATGTTTATGACGTCAACAGCAGAAACAGAAACTGTTGTTTCAATTTCCAAGGCTCTCAGATGTGTTAACATTTTTTGCTTAATTCCAGTGGTTTTACAGATTAGGTGGAACAGTTTCGTAATTATCTATGGGTTTTGTCGGAATTATTTTTTCTTGTTTTTAACTTTGTCGTCATTTTTTTCCGGCAATTTTGATATTCACCAAGACCTCATATATTCTAATTCTACGTATATAAGTTAGGTTCTACGTACATATTAAAAATAGGACGTAATGTGTTCAGTCGTGGAGATGACGACGCTAAGAAGATGATGATGATGATGTAAAAGAGGGAGGGATGGTTGCGTTTTGGTTTCTTGGATTTTGAATGTACGTAGAAACAAACTTATTTTTATTTGGTTTGGTTCATTGAAACTACTTTTGGTTATAAGTTGCGTTGTTGTTACCTAAATGAACCAAACTGTTATGGGAACTCGATTTTCCTTGTGTTTGATTTCCGTTTAATTTTAAGTTGATTGTTTTTGTGTTTTGTATTTGTATGATTACATAGTTGATCTTAACCATGCAACAGAAAGAACACAATGCAAAATGGTGCGATGGCTTTCAAGAAAATTGAAAAAGAAGATACCATACTACAATAATTACTGCACATATAAAAATGACTAGACAGAGAATTACAGGACATGCATGAGTCCTGACTCATGACAAATGAAAAAACAATAGGCTTACTAGAAAAAAAATTGAGAGAAAGAAACCTTTACCAAAAGTGATAAACAAAGATAATAATTTTGGCTAGATTTTGAACTTTTAGTAATATCTCTGAATGATCAACCAAATTTAAACTACAAGAACCGAACAAAAAACATATTATCTATACTTTTACATTATTTAGATTGGTGGTGTCTTTTGCTCAAAAAAAAAAGAAAAAAGATTGGTGGTGACTACAAATGCCTTCATTTAAACTCAGATATATATAAGTACATTGGAAAAAATCTATTTTTTTGACAATTCAACTTTTATTTTCTGAACTTTGGCTTTTCAATTTCGAAAACGTTTCTAAAAAGCCAAAGAAAAAAAGGATACAAGAAAAAGTAAAGGTGTTTAATGCCGTTTGGATTGGCTTTAGTGCGAATGTGCGATACACACAAAAGCAATTTGTTATCCGTTTGAAATCCAAAATTCTATCCTGCGTTTTAAGTGTACGTTTACTATATTGTTCTACCTTCTAATTGACTATAGAGTTAGTGCATTTAGATTGGCTTTTCATATGAAAAGAAAAGTGAGTAAGAACCAATGAAACTTTCACCAAAAAAAAAATGATATGATAGAGATCATACAAAAAATACGTAAATCGAACCTCAACTAAAATTCACAGCACTACTTTATATTACTACCTGGTCAATCCTTGAACAACGTACAATATTAATGGCTGATTTTGATTTTGCAATTCTCTTAAGTATGGCTGGATAATAATGTGATTTAGAAGAAATATTCATATCCTAAAAATGTTTATCTATTCATATATCTTCCAACTCCAACAACACTACATAATCCATATGGACTAATCAAAGCGAAGAAACAAAATCTAATGCCGAAAAATAGAAGAAACGAAAGGAAAAAAAAAACACATGAAAATTAAAAAAAAAAAATCATAAAACTTGGAGTTGACTAAGATAAGTCAAAATCACACTTGACTGGTTGAAACTTAAACCCTCCGGTTGAATTAGAGGAACCAAGAGGAATCTTAAGATCATCACACTTAATCTTTGGTTTAAGCTTCCACGACTTAATCACCCAAAACTTAAACCGAACACTTAGCCGCAATTTCGCATCAATCCGATAAACCCCAGATTTCTCATCTTCCTTCAGATCTGTTCTCGCTCCGTCGCCGAGCACCACCAGATTCTGTCCTTCAATTTTTGTTAAAACCACCGTCGTATTCTTATGCCCTTGATAAAACGACGATACGTTCACAGATCCGAATCTCTGATCACCGTAATAGCCACTCACCGAGATCTCATCGTAGTAGACTCCGACTCGTTGATTAGGGTTACGGATTGTGAAATTGAGATCGAGACTGTAATGGAGATTGCTGTTGTTGTTTGAATCGAAGCTGAATCGGTTCAGATTAGCGTCGGCGACGTAGAATTTGACGGCGTTTGGACGGAATATGAGCCAGAGGATAAAACCGGTGATTGCGAGGATTACGGCTATGGCTATGAGGATGTTGCAGATCAGGCTTAAGATGCAGCAACCGCAGCAGCGTAGACAGCTTCCGAGGCAGCTGAAGCAACAGCATCCGAATCCAGGTGAGTCATAGCTGCGGTGAGCTTTAGCCGGCGGAGGAATCGATGGTCCGTAGTATGCGCCGTTTAGGTATGGTTGTTTGGTCCCCATGTGTTCGACGAATTGCCTCAGAGAGAAATTAGACCAGAGATTTCAGAATACGAAATGTTTTTTTTGTTTGTTTAACCTAAGAATAATAATGGTTTAGTGAAGAAGAATACGGATATATATATAGAGAGAGATAATTGTGTTTTTAATGTAACGCGTTTTTTTATTTATTTAGGAAACGAATTCAAAAGGACGCGATTACTTAATTTTGTTTTTTTTTTTTTTTGTCATTACTAAGGAAAATTAATTGTGACTATATTTGCAATTTTGATTGTTGTTGTTATTGATAACAACTAAGATCGGTTACTCTTAAACCAACGGTTTAGTTTTTGAAAAAAGTGCCGTTACATTGCTGTTGCATGGAGATAGGATTTTGATTGTGGTCAGAGCTTTTCCAGCAATCGAGAAACATTTCAAATCTAAAGCTTACTAATTAAACGTCTAGTTCATTTAGTTTAGTTCCATGAAACTAGGTCTAAGTAGGCTTTGTCATCAAGTTGTTTATCAATTCTGACTTAAGGAAGAAAGTAGGAATTTTATGTAAAATGTGATGAGTGTATCCCAAATTGTAGAAGGCTTATCCCAAATTAGGCCCAACATAAAATAGTGTAGCCCAATAGTAGACGAAAATAAAGACGCTACTGAATAATGAATATAGTCATGAACACCTAAACTCAAAATGTCTAAGAGAGGAATTCACCAAAAAAAAAAAAAAATGGCTAAGAGAGGAGATCATAATTATCACATCAAAAAGACTAAGATGGTTTTATTCAATGATGGATTTTAGTAGAATTGAAATCCAACACTAATCTAGTGTTATTCAACTAATGATTGTAAATCTAACTTTAAAATCTGGTGTTATTGGATCTTATATTTCATTAAATTTTAATAATTTGGTGTTATTCAACTAAGATTTGAAATACTTTATTAAAATCCAGTGTTATTCAAAACTACAAGACTTGTAAAACCTTTGTATATTAAATCATTTGAAATAAAACCTCTTTGGAGTTTTATGAGTAAATTATTAGAATCAAAATCCAAGATATACTGTAGAGTTTTTGAAAGCCACACAAACATATTCTTAAAAACAATATTATAAAGCAAATATAAACCTTAAAGAATTGAGTTTAACTCAATGATTGAATAACACTCCTTAAATTTTGTTTTAGTGAAAAATTTGTATTTAATCAATATTGATAATTACACTATTACTATCTAAAATTTCCGATGTTGTAATTTGTAAATGATTTTTAAGTTAGGTATAGAAAAGGCCACTTTTTAGAAATTTCTGTGAGTTTGGCAGTGTGTTACTCGGACGTTCTAGTGCCTGTGTGTGAACAGCACACATAGCACGTTCATGCCCACTTTATTTTAATTTATCAAAGAAAATCCAAAGTAATTAGGTTTCTCAACTTTATTTGAGATAGAACGTTGTCTATATATATACTATCATGTTATTGAAATCCAAAGTAATATTGGTGACTGGCTTTCTCCGTCAACGTTTGCTACGTTTCTTATACTATTTTCGTTCACCACTACTTAAATAATAAGTTTTAAGGGACCATATTCCCCTTTCTTTGGTCAATTTAAGGGACCATGTTTAATATCAAATGAATGAAAATGCAAATTAGCAAGAAATAAGTCTTCTCTCCGGCGTCACATAGATAGAGTCTTTAGAGCCAAGTAAAATTGTAGTACTAGACTACTAGTTGTTTGGTAGTAACTTGTATAAAAATGCAAAATATAAGAAAACTATATATTAGCCAAATTCTTGTAAGCTGTACTTGTAACAATGAGTACCGGATTCTGATTTTCTCATTTCAAGATCCAAGAATATTCACGGTAAGCTAGCCCCTAAGTAACGTTATGTGTTAACTTTATTTGAATGTACGTAGCAAAACTTTAGGAGAATGGGCTTTAAGGTGCAAAAACCATATTTTAAGCCAGACACCAACAAATAAAATCTACCTATAAATCCATAAATATGACTAAAATAAATCCAATCCACATAATTTATCTTTCTGAATTTTCTTACTTGTGAAAAATATATAAAAGACTCTATATAATAATCGATCTCTATTTATTTTAAGAAAAAGATGGAGACAAATGGACAATGACACCATCACACAACGTCCACAAAACATTAACGAGCCTAATCTATATTCAACTAAAATTTAATTTCCATCGCCGTCCAACTTTACCATATTCAAAAGAAAAAATCCTCAAAAAGTTACAAACAAAAGTCGATTTGACAGGATCAGAAGATGCATCAAAATCAGTAAAAATATACTTCTAAGAAAATCACAACTTAAAATAGAATTTAGAATTCAACTATAATAAATAAAGGTATACATATTGAAATTCTTCAAACTCGTTACAACAACACGAATCTGTAATATTTGCTATTCGTATAAGCAAAATGTCCAATTCACATCACTAGTGGTGATTATGAAAACAAATTACTTAACGGAGACGTTAGTTACCTTATTTATCTCCGTCGTCGTTTCACACACTAACACTACAACTACTGGTAAACGTATACTTAACGGCGTTATCTCCGATGATAACTCCGGCAGCTTTATTACCGAAGTTAATATACGCCGGGCACTTCACATAAAGATGATACTTCCCGGTGATAAAAGTCCCAACCTTCCACCGAACTCTACCATCAGCACGAATGATCAACATAATGGCGCCGTTATCTTTATCGTCGTCGAGACCAACGCCGTTAAAAGGAGCGATGGGAACGGAGGTTCCGTAGACAAACGGCGACCAGATGTTGACTTCTTTGTGTCCCTGATACGTGGGAGGGATTGATGTTCGGAAAGTGATCTGTTGGCTCCGGTAAGTAGCGTAGACGTCAAGGCGGTCGTAGTAAACGCCGATCTTGTCGTTAGGGTTCCGGGAAGAGAGAGTGATTTGGAAGTTGGAGGTGATGAGGTTCGGTGGATTGCCGGAGACGTTGAAGGCGTAGACGGTGGCGTCTTGGAGGAGGAAACGTGGCTTTGAAGGTTGGAGAATTGCCCAAATGAGGAGGATTGTTAGGAAGATGATGAAGAGGAAGAAGATTCTCCTGCAGCCATTCAAGAACGGAGGAGGAAAAGAATTGACGATGCTTCCTAGTTGGTATTATGCGCCGCCACACGCCACTCATCGCGGGACAATCACGTAGAATGTGTAAGATTGTCTCCTCTCCACTCTTGCAAACCTGACAAAGAGAAGAATCGCATAAATGGCGCCGATATCGTTCTGCATTTGACATTAGAGCTTGATGTCCGACTAGCCACAAGAAGACTCGGATATTCTCATATCATATAACCTATAATAATAATAATTCGCCCTTTTAAAAAATCAGAGTTTTTATTTTCCTTTTCCAAAACCACTACAAAATATTCGAAAAAACATATTAACCTAATTGATTTTCTTCTTGTATATTGCTAGAAATGTTGAAAATTATGAATACATGATTGATATGGTCGGTGCAAGTGTTCTTTAGAAAGGTGACTTTATGTGTGCTCGAAGAATTTTTCATCGGATCCCCTCCAAGTCTCCAACCATAATAAGCAATTTAGCTAGTTTTTTTTCACTTTCAGCTTCACGATTTGAAAGACCGAGACTTAAAACTTTTAAAAACATTTTTTTCTATTATAAATTAGATTCTCTAATGTGAAATCTAACTACATATGCGCTTTGATTGTTTCAAACAGTAAATTGTGTTTGTATTTCTGTTTAAATTTGTTTTTTTTCATGATCATGGAACTCGGATTTGTTCCATCCCTCAATGTTATGCATTCAATAACCTGTGAAATTATTTTCATGATCAAATCCACAATCTACAATATTTGGTGCAAAGTGGAAAAACTCATGGATACAAAAAGAAGTTCAGATATACATGAGTAAATGAATTTTCACTACCAATAATAGTCAGTCAATTTGAATTTGTGATAAGAACTTATAGTACAATCTAACTTTTATATATTTAATTAATGATCATATATTATGTGGATTAATAATTGATAGAGATTGAAAGAAAGTTCAATATATCCACGTATTCTCCCATATGGAAAAGAGGACGTAAGTGACCTAACACTAATTGCCAAAGCAGAAACCACCACTTTTTCCATAATTTTCCTTGTCGTGTTACGTTGATTAATTATGACTCTTAATATTGTGTAATTTTGGAGAGAAAGTATTAGACGAGGGCACTAATTGTTCTATCGGTATCGGTCGACATATATTTGGTCTATGTTTAACGTAGTTTTCCGAATTTTTAGAAAATTGTAGGGTTATTTTCATCTTTGGCGTAAAAAAAGGATTCGTGAAACAAAAAGAACAAATGTATTTAATTATTATATAACAAAATATTCCAAAATCACGAAAATATCACAAAACGATTTTCATGTCACATTTTTGCCAATATAGTTATTTAAACTACTTTATATATCATCAAATACGCTTGGTATTAATATTCTACAGAAATAACCCCCCAAAACGACATCTAGTATCTACCCTTTCTATTAACAAACAGAGGATAATATGGGAAACAATAAACGTAGTGGTTTAATAAGTCAAAAGCAAACTGTGGCCTCTGGGGAAATATCTACCAGCCAAAGATTGGCTTGTGAACGTGAGGCGGAACAAGATTCAGATCCTTGCAATGTTGCTTATCATAATCTTTTGTTCTTGGTGTTGCTCCTGTGCATAGTCTCAAGAAATCGTTCCCTGTTAGAACATAGTGTGTGAATGCTAACCCTCCATCGACCATCTCGTTAAAGCTCGGAACCGATCTTGATTTTCGCATCCTCCTTCCTCCATCTCCATCATTTAAGATCTTATCGAGATCTGAATACTCCATGAACCTCTGTGTTGCTGCTTCCCAAGAGAGATTGTACATTTGCTCTGGAGTGAGAGGTAATGGCTCCTTCGTCATTGCTTCTTTCACTTTCGACACAAAGTCTTCGGATGTTTTGTAAGTTAAGCAGTTCGGGAATGATCTGAAGAATTCGTTTGAAGGATGATCTGCACACACCACAAACTTCCCCATGGCTAGTGCTTCTGCGGTTGCTGTGCATAGAACATCGCTGATGCTGGGGTTTATGAACACTTTGTACCTTCATTAAGACATGGGAAAAACAATCAAAGAGCGAAACCTTAACAGTTTATCAAAAACAAACCCGCATTTTCAGAACTTTACTTGTGAAGAGCATCGTCGGCGTGGTCCCTTCCTTTGAGGAAATTGAGATTTAAGTCATGTTTCTTTGCTGCACGTTGGACTTCGACTGCATCTTCACCGTTCCCATAGACATCTAGATTGAAGCTCCCGAGTTCGCTTTTGTGCTTAGCCATCAGATCTATTAGTTCTCTGTATCCTTTAGCCCACACCATTTTTCCTAAGAAGTATGCACCTTTGGAGAAAGCTTGTTCACCACGGGATCTCTCTTCAGCAATTTTCCCCCCAATCATAAGGAACTTGGGATTGACACCGTGGACATTGCATACAACAGATTTTGGTAAATCTTGTGTTGCCCCAGAGAGACGAAGAACCTTTCATGAGTATAAAAATATGTATTAGCTCGTGTGCTCTTATTAAAAAGGATTCAAGCAACAGAACAAGGCTTGAAAAAAGAGAGTAGATGATTCACCTTGTCACAATATGCTCGTGTGACCCAATTGTTTACATGATTCACAAAAAATGCTTGAAGAGCACCATTCTTCTCCCTCTTGATGTACTCTAAGTAGTTTGTGTGGACAATTCCAACAACATGGTTGAATTTATCGGTCCAACGCTTGCCGTGATGGTACCAGTTGAGATGCTCAGGTTCTTCAAGTATAGCAATGTCAGCATCTTTTGACGATATAAATTGAGAAGTGTCACCAGCAGGAAATATGCTACGCCTTTCTTTTGAAAACTATAAGAAACCAGAAAGCTCAGTTACTCTCAAGAAAAAAATTGAAAAACATATTGGCAGCCATAGAAAGAAAAAATAGAATCCAAAATGATCAACTCACCTTTCCTGGGTAAAAAGAGATTTTAAAATCAGCCTTGAAACCAATCCTTTCCTCCAACCATTTACGTATATAGCTCTCTTGTTCTTCAGGTGAACTAAAGGTGAGATTGTTTGGATAAACTAGTTCTTGATCAGATTCGCAGAGCCAAGGAACTACAAGTGTAACACTCTGTTTTGCAGATTTTGCCAAATACGCCGCTCTGAATAGTGGATTTACAGCTGTTCCGGTCATCCAAGGGAGACTAGCTGTTGTAACAATTGCCACATGCCTTTTATTTTCTGATGTCTCAGGCTTCACAAAATCAGTCCAAAAGCCACCATCATAATGGTGTCCTGTGCTTTGAAGAACACTGGCTATCCTCATATCCAAATCAACTCCATGATTATCATTTTCAATTAAATCGGATGCTTGTGCAGATGGCAGACGCCAAAGGTGTTGGCTCTTGCATTTGCAAAGGCTTTCTACTATTCGGTCGCACATATCTACAAGAAAATTCAGCGAAACAGAATCAGGGACTTTGTTTCTCAAGTAAACACTGAAACTATAAGCTACTGTACCAGAAAAGGGGTTTTAAACCATTAACCTACACATCTAGAAAATTTCAACATGTCTATGGCAGATGTCATTTGATTGATCTGTTCCCATACAAAATCTAGGCTTAAAATATTTGATAACCAGAAGTAGTGTGATAATGTAAAGCATCAAATCTCACCAGCTAAGCTTCTGATGAAGCAAGCAACCCACTAAACAAAGACACTCTAATACCAGAGAGATGATTCAAAATTTTGACGGAAAAATCACCTATGGTAGAGAAACACCAACCATCCACAACTCAATACATACAACAGATAAAATAATAGCTTCATGAAGAGAAAAAAACAAAAAATCTTACCCTTTCTAACACCAATCTGATCAAGAAAAGGTTCAGACTGTCTAACCAAACAGGCCAAAAGTTCAGGTACATCCAATGGAGGGACATCCTGCACCAAAGTTAAAAAGGAGGCCAAGTTAAACTCCCAATCCACCATTGAAATCTACCTAAAGTATATGGAGTAACAAGAAAAACTGATAAGACTTCCAACTTCCAAATACCAACCTTAGCCTCATCAGTTTCTTTGTAAATTGATTTCTGCAAACAGAACAAAAGAAAAAAAGCACCATTAGAAAAGTTACCAGATACCATAAGAAACTCAATTAATCATTCCACAAACAGTAACTATCATCATACGACAATGTCGTGGCTATTAAAAGTGAGAGTAAACTACAAGAGAAAAACTTCTGAAATAGGTTCCCAAAAAGTTGGAGAAACTTACAAAGCTGGTTTTGAGCTTCTCCACAAATTCGCTGTTCTTGAATCCACTCAATATTTCTAACGAGTTTCGTTTCTCAAACTCTTTAAATCTAGTCTTCAAAGACCTAATCGGTTCCCAATCACCGAAATTACCTTCTCCATCTCTCTCAGCCTCCGCGAAAAACTCCGTAAACCTAACCCTGTCACTATTACGCCGTCTCCTCAATCTACCCATCTCTAAAACTCCCTGACGCTCATCCAATTCCATCTCAGACACAATCGCCTTCTTAATCGCCGATAGATCCATTCCCAGCTTCGCTCTCGCTGGTCCCCATCTCTCCATAACCTTACGACTAATCTCCGGCGCCGAATAAACCCTACGAAACTCCGAAATCTTCGGCTGAAGCTTCTTCATGATACCAATTTCACTTGAGAAAGAAGACGCCGATGGTGACCCGACGGGAAACGCAGACCTGGCCGAATTATTGAGGAAATTCTCGATCTCTCTGTCGAACGTCGATGCTAGATTCTTAACGGAGTTAGCTCTGTCTCGCATCAACTGCAAATCCGCATCCGCTGAATCCCATACCTCTCTCCAACCTTTCGACAAAAACGATAACGCGTTTGTTGATGACAACGTCATTGAAAGAGACGAAGACGTCGCCGTACCGGTCGCCATTGACGTAGAAGACGGAGGAATTAGAGTTTCTTTTACCATGATTTAGGGTTTATCGTTTCGTCACGACGATTTCGTGAGAGTGCTAAGGTTTCTCTATCTGTTGAGAGAATTGGGGAAGAAGAAGAAGAAGAAGAGAAATTGACGGCTGAGATTAATTTGGAGTTTTTATTTTTTTTATTCTCTCTCTGTATTATTCTGGAAGATTAACACGTGGATAATAAACAAGTCGGACGATAGGAGCTTATGAAGCCTTGACCCGTGACCGACGTGGCATGAGTCCCGCTCGTTGATTACGTGGCGTGTTGTGAGTGGTTGACGAGATTATCCGATTGTGTCGGATTTAACTTAGGAATATGCTGGAATCGAAGAATCTGGTCCTACGGGGCATGGTTAATGACAAAGACATCATCATCATAAAAAAAAGAAAGTGGTCGTAATTAGACCGTAAACGAGTCTTATTAACGGCTCAAAATAGTGGCCGACTTAGCTGAAATAAACCAAAGGACGCCACGTGAAAACTTGTGACTGATTGTTAGAAATTTTGATACAAACAGTGAAACAGAGATACAAATGGCTTTTTCTACCAACTAAATTTTGATGTAGCATTGTTTGTTTATATATGAAATTTACAATCTTAAGATTTAGTTACAGACACTAAATTTATGTATTAAACCGATTTTACTCCTTTTACTAAATTAAAGAAAGAAAAAATAACTGATTACGTACTTACTTAATTGACTAGACATATTTTATCCGTTATACATTAATCATTCACTATATAAAGCGAGATGATCTCTTTCCATTAAAGACATTTTGAACGCATCACATAAAAAAAAAAAAATAATAATCTTAACTTATATTGTATCACAATGCAAGACAAAGAGATGGGTTATGAACATGTACATGTACCAAAAGAAATATCGTATCAGTACAATAACAGTACATGTTCTTACCTAATACTCTCTCCGTTCTTTTATAAGTGATGTTTTAAGCTTATAATTTTGTTCTTAACTAGATGATGTTTTCAATTTTTAATGCAAAATTAAATACTTTTTTTATTGGTTTTGACGATTTATATTCTGTATATTATTTTATTATTGGTTGATTAGACAATAAATGATGTTTTAGTTTAGAAATAAACAAAA